CTGCCTAGGGAATGCTGGACCTTCAACCTCAGATCTCGAAATCTTGGAGGCTCCTGCAAGAGAAGCACTTTTGGGTTTTTTTGGCCACACAGCGTGGCCTGAGGGATCTTAGTTCCCTGACCAGGGATCAAACCTGTGCCCCCTGCAATGGAAGCACAGAGTCCTAACCACTGGACCGCCAGGGAATTCTCAAGATGAGGGCTTTTGGGTTTGAGGCAGAGGCTTGACCAGGGCCTGGAAACGAGAGTGACCCTTAAGGACAGGCTTCATGCTTAACCCTAACCCTCTATTTCCCTCTCCAGTCCTACCAAAATGCAGTCCTATTTTCTTTCATTTAATATTTAAGTCCTGTGCTGGGGAGGCAGGTTCAGAAAAGACACAGTTTCTGTCTTGAAGAAAGAGAAAGATCATCACCTGCCTTGTGACAAAGACTTTCAGAGAGGCCTCATCAAAAACCAAAAGGCCTGAAAATATCCTCTGTTAGTTAGGATGGTTGAAACAGGTGATCTCATCCATTGCTGGAGGTTGCAAATTGGTGCTGCAAACTTTTTGGAAGTCAATTCCAAATCTATCCAAATTCCAGTGAAAAATCTATCTGAAATTTAAAAGCACATAACCTTTGACCCAGCAATGTCATATTTATAAATTTGTCTTACAGATACACACATAAGTGCAAAACAATTATATGTACCAAGATATTCCGTGAAGGAACCATTGTTTATAGTAACAAAAGGCTGACATGCCCTAAATATCCACTAGGTAGAGAAGAGCAAAATAAATTGGGACACAAGCAACCTAAGTGTCCATCGACAGATGAATGGATAAAGAAGATGTGGCACATATATACAATGGAATATTACTCAGCCATAAAAAGAAACAAAATTGAGTTATTTGTAGTGAGGTGGATGGACCTAGGGTCTGTCGTACAGAGTAAAGTAAGTCAGAAAGAGAAAAACAAATACTGTATGCCAACACATATATATGGAATCTAAAAGAAAAAGGTTCTGATGAACCTAGGGGCAGGACAGGAATAAAGACGCAGATGTAGAGAATGGACTTGAGGACACGGGGAGGGGGAAGGGTAAGCTGGGACGAAGTGAGAGAGTGGCATGGACATGCATACCCCACCGAATGTAAAATAGATAGCTAGTGGGAAGCAGCCGCATAACACAGGGAGATCAGCTCGGTGCTTTGTGAGCCCCTAGAGGGGTGGGACAAGGAGGATGGGAGGGAGACGCAAGAGGGAGGAGATACGGTGATGTATGTATATGTATAGCTGATTCACTTTGTTATACAGCAGAAGCTAACACAACATTGTAAAGCAACTATACTCCAATAAATATGTTAAAAAAATTATTGAAAAAAATAATAAATTGTGACACATTCCATATGCTGGAAGACTAGATTTTGTGGAGGCAGATATATTATTAAGTGAAAATAGCAAGGTGTCATGCAGTGTGGAATGTGTGCCATCATTTGTGTCAAACACGCACACACACACACACAAACATACTGTTTGTATATATCCAAAATATCTCTGGAAAGACATTAACATTGTTTTTCTTTTAAACTGTACCCATGCATTACCTTAAAAAAAAAAAAAGAGGGCTTCCCTGGTGGCGCAGTGCTTGAGAGTCCGCCTGCCGATGCAGGAGACGCGGGTTCGTGCCCCGTTTCGGGAAGATCCCACATGCCGCGGAGCGGCTGGGCCCGTGAGCCATGGCCACTGAGACTGCGCGTCCGGAGCCTGTGCTCCGCAAATGGGAGAGGCCACAACAGTGAGAGGCCCGCATAACGCAAGAAAAAAAAAAAAAAAAAAAAAAAAAAAAGAGGCACCAACTGAGTAACGGTGAGCAGGGATGGGGAGGGAGGAGATTCCTGGGGAAACCTGCTCAGTCACCTGAGCTCCGAGTGTGCCCAGTGACTGCACAGTCATTGCATCGGAGGTGACAAGGCGACAGCAATTCAGAAATGTCACCCATGCTGTGACTCCATCTCTATCACCTCTGGAGGCCTCGCCCTGTCTTGGCTGTCATACCGCCTGTTCCCAGCAGGGGGAAGCACAGACCCACCAAAGTATTGGTCCCAAACTTCAAGCATCCCTTCTAGGATTTCCTCCTCTGTGAACCACGATTGGAAAGACACTTCCTGCCAAGCCAACCAAATCTATTAGGTAATAATTGATTAAAATTCCCCCCCCCTTTTTTTTGGTACCTTACATTTCTGATCAGCATGAGAGAGAGATAATGTAGGCTTGTTGGGCTGATCATTTTCCACACAACGGGTCCTACTTAGCCCAGGCTTATTTCCATCAGGCCTTGGGTGGGCAGTGGTTGGCAATGGCCTGAGCAACCCCAGGGACCGAGGGTGCAGGCTGGCAACTATTAAGTCATTAGAGGCTCCCCAGCCCACTGGGATTTTCAGCTGTGGGGCACAACTCCCACTCTTGTCCTACCCATTCAAAGAGGAGTTCTAAGCAAGAGTAAGCATGAACACCTGGCACCACAGGCTGACTCTCCCAGTCACTCTCCCAGATGTGTTTAGAGTGTGTCCCAAGGACAGAGAGTCTTCTCATCTGCCACAGAATCTTCAGGAGTGAGCACAGTCCCGGGCACAGAGCTAGTGCTATGTAAAGCCTTGTTAAATGGAAAGAGACAGTCATTGAGGAGAACAGGGACTAAATTCTTTAAATAAAAAAGAAAGAAAGAAAGGAAAGAAAGAAAGAGAGAGAGAGAGGGGTCTTAGCTAATCTCAAGGGCAAGAACCCAAGGGCAAGAGTGTGGTCTGCTCTAGGCTGGAGGTGAGGGCAGTGGGCACAGAATGGATCACCTTCTTAGCACACCCAAGGAATATCCTGCTTTGTCTTACTTTGTGGGTCCCTGCCTGGGACATGAAATAAGTGATGACATCTCTCACCCACCAAAGGTACTGGTGACCTTGGCAGAAGAAAGGCTTAAATCAGGTCAGCCTGGGGGAAGGGACTGGTTCATTCCAGGGCCTTCCTTAAGATTAGATAAATTCCCAGCTCCTGCTTAAACTTTGGTGGTTCTGAATTTGAGAGGGAGGGCAGAAGGAAGAGGAAGCTATAGTGGAGGGGATATTTATGGCCCCTGCCTGGCCTAGAGAAAATCCAGGGCTCATTAATGGGCCCCCAGTCCTCAATGCCTTGATGGTGCAAGGAAGGACCAACTGGGGATCCCCACAAATTATAATAGATGGGAGCTTCCCTGGTGGCGCAGTGGTTGAGAGTTCACCTGCCGATGCAGGGGACACGGGTTCGTGCCCCGGTCCGGGAAGTTCCCACATGCTGCTGAGAGGCTGGGCCCATGAGCCATGGCCGCTGAGCCTGTGCGTCCAGAGCCTGTGCTCCGTAGCGGGAGAGGCCACAACCGTGAGAGGCCCGCGTACCGCAAAAAAAAAAAAAGATGGGAGTGGGAAGAGCAATTGAAAGAAAAGCCTCAAATTCAGGCTGGAGATTGTGCCCAGACCTGGGGTTCTAAACCGCACCCCGCCCCCCCCCCCCCCCCGCCGCAATACTCTCTCATCCTCCGGTCCATCCTGAATGAGAGGGCCAATGGGAGGAAGGGGCAGCAGCTCCAAGGCATTGTAGATTTTGGAGGTGGAGAGAAAGGAGGCCTGTTTCTGCCCTTTATTAGCTGTGTGCCCTTCGGCAAGTCACTTAACCACTCTGAGCCTCAATTTCCCCCTCTAAAATGAGGATATCAATACCTACCTTCCCTGGTCATTGTCAGGATGAATGAAAGAAGACCTCTGGAAGTATTTCTGTAATTGCCAGACATCAGAGATTGTTATTCGTTAAGGCAAGCGAGAGGCCACCGTAGGTCTTTGGAGGTGACAGCTTCAAGATGTTTTCCCCCTCTGCGGTTCCTGCTCCTTTCCCAGCGTGGATGCTGGCTTTAATCCTCCCGTTCCCCAATACCCGCGCTTCTCCTTGAGACCGCCTTGGTGGTCCTCAGATTTTCGCAGCCTGCCTTTTTCCTTGGGCGCCCCCATTCTAAAAGCACTGGGGGTGCCGGCACAGGCGCAGAGCTGGTCCAGAGTGGACAGGTCGCGGGGGTCTCCACTGGCCTGTATCTGCGCCCCCCGCCCTGCTTTGGGATTCTTATTTGCAGATGGTTCTCTGTGGTCTTCAGCTCGGTCCTGGGCTAAACAGAGGAGGGGAGAAACAAGGGGTGGGGGGCCTGGAAGGGGGTTCCCACCTTCTCCGGCGGGAACCCGAGAGGGGGACGCAGCCCTTGCGCCCCAACGCCGCACCGTCATGGGTCTCCAAGCCGCTCTCGTAAGTGGTGGCAGTCCTCGACTCCGACCATTGCCCCCTCAGTCCCCCAGGCCGTGACCCCTTTCACCCAGACCCCGCCAGTCGCCCGGCTCCGAGCGAGCGGGAGCCTGCGGTTCTAGGACCCCGAGGCGCGGCCGAGCGCGCCGCCGCCTCTGCCTCGCCTCGGTTGCTCCCGCTGCGGCAGGTGAAGCGGCGCCGGCCGCCCCCTCTGCGGCAGGTGAAGCGGGTCGGTAGCCCCCTCTCCGTCACGCCATGGCTGCGGCCGACCCCCGGCAGGCGCCCGGCGCCCTCCCCCTCCCTCCAGCCCGCCCCCCTGGGGCTGGGTGCGTAGCGGCGGCGGAGGCGAAATGCGGTTTGCGCGCACAGGGAGCGACAGCAGAAGTTAGAAGATCGCCGAGGGGGGAGCCCGTGCCGCAGCTTCCTGCCCCCGGCCCAGCCCTCTGGCCCCGGCGGCCTGCAGCCTGACTTCCTCCCCCGACCCCGCAGCTCGCCGCCCGGCTCCTCGGACGGGGCCGCCCCGATGGGACGCCGCGCCCCGGCCCTTGCGCGCCGCTGAGCCGAGCGCCCGCGTCGCCGAGCCCCCGCCGCCGCCGAGAGCCGCTGCCCTCCTCGCCCCCCAGGCCGGGAGCCTCATCCGCCCTCCCCGGGAAAGCTGGATTTCCGAGGCTGGAGGCGCCTGGCCGACTGGGTGGGGACCACCATGGGCAACGCGGCCGGCAGCGCGGAGCAGCCCGCGAGCCCCGCAGCGCTGTCCCCCAAGCATCACGCGGCGCCCAAGCAGCCGATGCCCGCGGCCGGAGAGCTGGAGGAGAGGTTTAACCGGGTCCTGGTGAGTGTGGCCCGCTGTGCGCGGGGCGCGGGCGGGGGGCGGCAGGGGCTCGCCACGCGTCCCCGCCCCCGGGGGCTCAGGTACCGCTTGGAGATCTCCGGCGGCTCGTTGGCGGCCCCTCCAGGGGGTGGAAGTGACAGTGGTTTCTTAAAGAGTGACTTAGCACTCTCCCCCCAAAACTTTCTTCTGCAACCGTCCAGTCTCCCTCCCCAAGATACCCCCTCCCACAGCGCTTCTGGGTCTAAAGGTCTAAACAAAAATGTCCTGTGAGGAAGTTGGGAGCGCAGCACGCGGGCGGGGGGCGGTCCCGGAGCACCCCCTTCCCCACTGCACGCAGGCCCAGCCACAGGGTGCAGTAGTATCTACTTGTGTCTCAGGGTCAGAGACATAAGGGCTTATATTTTAACCTCCTGGGAGCTGGAAACTGAGTAGAGGTGTTTGGTCCTGATCTGCTGGTGCCTGAGCTGCTGGGAGCTGGGTTGTCAGATCACGCAGGTGGGGGTGTCTGTGTTTCTCCCTCACTGCAAGTCCGGGAGAGCTTGTCTGTGGGTCCTTATCTTGTGCGTCCCCTCATACCCACTGGAGGGATGAAGGTTAGGAAGGGCGGGGTCAGGATGGGTTGGTCACTCTGGCTTGGGGTGGAGCAAAAGTCTGGAAGCCCCTCTCCCTCACTGTCACCTGCTTCAGGGGATTGGGGGGCTTGGGGACTAGGCCACTGGGGAGGAAGCCATCAACTGAGCCTGGAGGCAGTTGGGATGGATTTGGTGGGTAGGGACTCCAGAGCAAAGTCAGGGTTCTCTAAGACCTGGTAGAAGAAAGGAGGGGAAATGGCCACTCATTCTCACTTCCCTCTCCCTATCTCAACCCTGTCCCAGGCTCCTTCCCTAACTAATTGCCTGGTGGCCTGTCTGCTGTCAGCTCCCTTGCCAGACCCTGGGTGACAGGCAAATAAGACCGTGCTTTTCCCCCGAGGCACTTCCAAGTCGGAGCCGGCTAGCGCTGCAGGTCTGAGGGTGGGGGCCTGAGGTAGACGCAGGCAGCGGAGCCGCGCAGGCTGGTGGCCCTGTTGATTCTCCACCTTCTCCACCTCCTTGACATCATTCCCCCCCCCCAC